AGTTGAAACAGCGTGAAGTTGACAAGTGCATTTTGGGAATAAACTAAATATATATCTTTAACTAAGTCGTCATTGGGTATAATTGGGAGCTGTCCAAATATGTTAACATGGTTCTTATAAGTCTAATGCTAATATCAGAGCATGTGAATGATAAAGCTGCAGATTAATCCTCAAATCAGAAGTGGAGATGCACATTTTGACTTTCATGATTGTCCACTGCGAATCGACAGACGAGGACATCTCTGAGTGTTTGTCCTCTGCTCAGATTACCTGTCTTCTGCATAGCAATCAACGGCAATGAAAAAGGGAAAGAAAAGAGGATCACTCAACAGGCAGACTGCCGTTACCATAGCAACAGGCACACTGTTACTGTCAAAATTGTATTTCCTCCTCGTCTTTTGCAATAGGAGAGACAGGGGAAGAGCGGATGACTTAATACAAAATATATATCACACAAACAAATAAAATATGATGTATTCTACCACACCCTTCACAATCTCTTCCAAACTAAGCCACTGAGGCAACACTCATTATTGTAATGTAGTGAAAATTGGCAATAATATCCAAAGTAAGTGCTGCAACTGGCAAAAGTTCCCCAATGTATGTACACAAACAAAGCACATGGACTGATGCCAAAAAAATGTTTTTGGCTCATCTACATTCTGAAATTATGAAATTCTAAAAACTGCCATTGAAGTGGAAATATCCAGGGTTGCAACAATCGGTCCATTGAGAGAATATGTCACTATTTTCATTGAAACAAATATAGTTTAAACCAAATATGGGGAACAAAATGTGCTGGCTCTAACTGCTCAAATGTGAGGATGTTGTTCTTTCATTAGTCTTTTGATGATAGAACTGTAGGGCTTACAGGCATTTGTAGCTATTGCTGCAAATGTAATTGACAAAGATTTGGTCAATTTATTATTTCAGAAATAATCAGCAGTTTATTCAATAACAATCAAGGATGGGAAACATATATCTAAGTAATATCCCTAAACCTCATACACTGCTCTCTGAATTCTTACTTTCTTAGTTTTGTCCAAAGCTGTCAATAATCAAGTGAATAAAATACTATATACTGGTTCTGTGTTGACTGATCCCTGTTCACCATCTACTGTGGGTGAAACAAAGGTTTCTGATGTTTCTAGTTTCTCTGTTTTCCCAAACTCTCTCTCTATCCATCTGTCTCAGTCTTTCCTCACCTACTGTTTGAACAGAATTCTAACTACGAAACACTAAAACGAATATTTAGTAAATGGTGTTTGCTGCTATTGCATGTTTTTTTTAGATATTAATGTTAACAAAGTATGGAATAGCAAGTAGTTAAAGTATTCGTGCGTGCGTGTGTGTGTGCGTGTGCGTGTGCGTGTGCGTGTGCGTGTGTGGTCTAGCATTACTATACTTGTGGGGACCTAAATCTGTTTACATAGTCACGTGTGGGGACTGGCTTCCCTTATGGGGACAAATTGGAGGTCCCCATGAGGGGGATCATTAATGTTAGGGTGAAGACTTGGTTAGGTTAGGATTAGGGTTAGGGTAAGGGTTAGGGTTAGGCATGTGTTGGTTATGGTTAAGGTTGGGATAAGTCTCCAGGAAATGCATGTAAGTCAATGTAATGTCCCCTGAAGTTATGTATACATGGTGTGTGTGTGTGTGTGTGTGTGTGTGTGTGTGTGTGTGTGTGTGTGTGTGTGTGTGTGTGTGTGTGTGTGTGTGTGTGTGTGTGTGTGTGTGTGTGTGTGTGTGTGTGTGTGTGTGTGTGTGTGTGTGTGTGTGTGTGTGTGTGTGTGTGTGTGTGTGGCAGATGTTCTGTCAGACTGCCAGCAGTATCCTGCAGCTGATACTCTCTCTGGACAGGCTGACTGACAGGTGTGTGTGTGTGCGTGTGTGCGTGCGTGTGTGCGTGCGTGCGTGCGTGCGTGCGTGCGTGCGTGCGTGCGTGCGTGCGTGCGTGCGTGCGTGCGTGCGTGCGTGCGTGTGTGCGTGTGTGCGTGTATGTTTTGTGTTTTCTTGTGTGTGAATAGATGGGAGCTTGCTTTGCCTGCAGCAAATCAATGTCCCCTTGAGGGAATGTTGAACCTGAGACAAAGAGCCGAGACAGACAGAGAGAAAGCGCAAGCTCTGGGCAAACACACTTTGTTCTCTTACCCTTATTCTCCAGTTTGAGCTACTTCAGACTTCAAACACATTTTACAGTTAAATGTATGTGGAATGTAATTGAACAGGAAATCAGTGCAGGTGCTGAGGTATCACAGTGGGAAATTAACACATGCCAGCAGCCTCACAGTAAGACTCTCAGACCTTGCTCCATCATGCAACCTGCCCCAGTGTTTCAGGAGCCAACACATAAAACAATGTTTTCCTGACATAGACTCCAAAAGGTTATTTCAAATACAACAGTGTGAAATTCACTTTGTAAAGCAAAATAAAGAAGAGTTTAAAAATGGTTTTAGCCTCAAAGGTGTGATTTGTTATTGAAGTGTAGCTGCTCTTTCCATCCAGTCGGTTTATAAAATGTTTTCTGAGGGCGACTGTGGCTGTGAGGGAGTGCGGTCGTTTTTTAACCAGAAGGTTGTGGGTTCGATCCCAGCCCATGCAGTCAACATGTCGATGTATCCTTGGGTAAGATACTCAACCCTGAGTTTCTCCCGATGGCATGGCCAACGGTGTATGAATGTGTATGAATGTTAGTTCCTAGAGTAAGGTACACTGCTTTGTATGAATGGGTGAATGACATGTTGTATGTAAAGCGCTTTGAGGGGTCTTAAAGACTGGATAAAGCTATACATAAGTAAAGTCTGCTTCTGCTCTGCCCTTCAGCTTCAAAAAACTGCTCCCTCGCTGTGAGGAAGCAAGGACCACACACTTCCTAAGCACACTATATCATATCACTGTCTCACTGTTCGTACTAAATTATGAGATGTGTCTACAGTTAGGAGAATTGAGTGATTCTGGAGTATAGGCTCAAGACCTTTTAGGTTGTTATAAAGGAGCTATATAAAAGAGCAGCTAATGAAGTCATCACTCAGCTATATAGTCTAGTTGCCAGCTCGTAGAGTCCTATTGTGAACCCGGAGATGTTGAGTTCCCCAACGTTTTATGTTAGAGATGTATAGTAGGGGTCGCCAGCACAAAGAAACTGCAGAATCCTAACTTGCATATGTTGGGCAATTTTCACAATTAGCATTAGTTGAGTTGTTGAATACATTTACAATAGGTACAAAAATGGCCTGGCCGATTTGGACATTTCTGGAGTGGACATTTTCAGAATCCAATAAGCAGTTTTAATAATACAATTGTAAAAAATCTAGATCAAGTTTCTTGAATTCCAAGGTAATGGATTGTTTTGTTTTGAGTAAGGCTGAGGACAGCATTTTCTACCTTTTGAATGTAAAATGATGTTAATCATTAATTTATTATCGAAATAGTTGGCAATTATTTTTTGTCCATTGACAGAAATCGATAAGTTGTTGCAGCTCTCTGTGCATTTAATGTATTCATTCCTCTCCTTTCATCTCCGCAAAAGCAATACTATCGTACTACACCGTCTCTGATTGATTGGAAAGGGATGGACCCATTTCCTCATATTATGGCACTTCTGGCCTGAACTGCGACGTTGCGTTCCTGGCAAACTCAGTCGAACAAAAGAAAGCTGGCTTCACACACATTACTTGACCTCGCATACAGAGAGGAATAATGCAAATGTGTATTTTACATATCTCTTGTACTTTCATAGACAAGTGGGACTTAAGTATAAATGAAACAACTGATGAATTGTTTGACAAAAACCTTGAATGGGTTGAAATAGGTAGATTCAACTTGCATGATTCACTGACATCGTCTAGACAGAAAAAGCAGCTCTCTACTCAACGCAACATTCAAAGAGTGTAAGAAGCGTGCTTAAACCTCGGAAAACCAAGAAGCCAAGCCAAAATTCAATCTTTCAACGGTGTACTATAAATCCTCCAACCTTTAAAACCACTCGCACACGTTTACCTGCACTTTCTCTGAAAACAAAGAAGCTTGCAGTTAGTTTATTAAGGGGAAAACAAAGATATATGCATCCATTAACTCTATGGGTAGGATTAGAGATCAAATGTAAATTAACCAGGGATTAGAGAAAGGAGGACTGAGAGTATCACCGTCTGCTGGCTTGTCAGACACATCACTACTGGTGATACACTCTTCTTACACAGTGGCACCATAATCACACACATAATGCCTTATGGACAGAGCTGCTGTGTGTGAATATGTCTATGCATTTTAGTGCAGGGGTGCAGGGGTGCCCACATTTCCTTTTGCCCAGCAAGACCTATCCTGTATCCTGAGTGTAGATAAGAAACAAGCAGCCAAATCAAATCAGATATGGAACTCTCTGGCTGTGGTGCTACTCACACGTACAAACAGAAACTCTAAGTGTTCTTTTTCAGCCGTCGGCTGCGGGGAGAAAGAGGAGAACAGAAAGACAGCTTGCATATTTGTGTGCTAGAGTCTCGTCTAATCTCGAAGGGAAGGAAAGACATAAAACATGTTACGCATTTACAGGGAAAATTCAAGATCAGCAATTCCAAGAATAGACAATAACTCTCCCGCTTTCTTTCTTGGTCTCTCAAGTGGCATTGAAGTTTGTGTTGTACAAGAGAAATATATTGTAGCTATAATGTAATAAGGTATACTGTAGAGAGGATAAATGGCCCAGAAACAAATGAAAACAGGTACATGAGCAGTCCATATGCTCAGATGCTATGTGATTAAAACCTTATTCTTTTTGGCAGCCAATAGAAGACAGTCTTTTCCATCATGACTGTGGTTCTGTTATGTCTAGCTCATACACACCCATACATAATATGGAAAGTATTTGTCTTCATTTTCTTTGCAAGACAAATCGCTAAAAACGTCCACATAATTACATTTACAGCTCTTTTGCAGTTGTTCTCCCTTTAGCTCTACAGGGAGAAAAGACAACACTGCATATTAATAAAGATATACATATTTACCTCTGATTGATTTCTTTCCCTGGGATGCGATCTCCTGATGGGTCGAGGGGGGAGGGGAGCAGGTTGAGGCAGGAAGCCAGGGACTGACTGGAGTCTTCTCTGGACACTGCGCACACACCCACCACACAATTAGTCATTACATTAAGATGATTTTCACATCTTAGTGGACACCCTTAAATAGGCCTATGCTGATCACAACATATTTTACTCATCAAAAATAATAACTTTTACATCTCCTCCAACATTTAATTAGAGTTATAAAACACCAGTCATGCACATTTTAATAGCATATTAAAATTCAGGAGTGATAGGTTTGAGTAATGAAAATACAATGAATTGTTTAAAAAAAAATGATATTTATTTTTAGTGTAATTTTAATGGCACATTTGACAGAGCAGTGTGAAAGAGTTTGGAATAAAAAGACAAGATTTGGCATTTCTTCGTGTCTTTGTAAAGGTCCCGCTGTCTCCCTCTTCCTGTCTGTCTGATTCCACAGGGCATGAGTCACAGTTGGATTAAGAGCACACAGCCCTGCAGCTGAATACTGTCGGCCATAAATTGCTGTGAAACTGCTTGCTTTTTAATAAAGGCTTCAACAAGCCACCTGAGAGAGGTAAGAATAAGGAGTGTCAATGAGAGTGCATGTGTGTGAGATGAGTGTGTGTGCAGTCATACTGTATGTGTCTGTCTGCCTCTTTATATGTGCATGTATCTGGTCTGTAAGCTTTGTGTATACCCACTGAATATGTGTGTGAGTTCTTAAATGATTCTATTTAAATAGAGTGTGTGGGAGAACCTTACTCTCCCATTGCCAGCACAAAGTCGAACTCCCTTGACTTTATGAGAACAATCCATCAAACCTTTAATTTCATGCTACAGTCTGCAAACCATTAGGTCTAATGACTTAGCATACAACCGTGTGTTAGTGTGTGTATTAATGATGATGCTTTCTTTCGATCTGCACCAGTCAGAGCCTTCATAGGTGTTTTTTATATATGTGCGTGTGTGTGCGCGTGCGTGTGTGTGTGTGTGTGTAAAATCTGTGCAAGTGCTGTGGCAAATCCGCTCTTCCTCCCAAAGCCCTTTCTAACCCCCATAAGCACAGGATATTCAGTTTAATATGGCTGAAGCGCCTGTTGTAATTCGCAGTTCCTCGCAGTTCTGCTGAGCATTTTACTTTATTTGATTGCAACTGTAATATTCATGGAGTCCATCTGGGACTTGAACGTAGCCTAGAGATAGATTAATGTAACCTCACATTTATATACTTGACTGAGATCTGTTATATAAGAATCAAATAATAATAATAATTCCTTACATTTATTATAGCGCTTTATCAATGACTCAAAGCGCTTTACACATTACACATATATGATACATGCAATGGTTAGATACTGTGGACAATACCCACAGGAGCCAGTTCAGGTGAAGTGTCTTGCCCAAGGACACACCGGCTTTACAGACGCAGCAGCGGCGGGTTTCACCCCTTGATCTGATGATCATTGCACAGCGCACTGCGCCACACCGCCCATCTTCACGCCTCGAAGAAGATGGCACTTTTACAGGTACACATTAGTATTATACATGTACTGTGGACATTACCCACAGGAGCAAATCCGGGTGAAGTGTCTTGCCCAAGGACACAACGGCCTGACGCAGTGGCGGCAGGAGCGGGTTTCGAACTGGAGTTCCCCAGCACTCCCCCTTGATCTGATGATCGGATGCACAGACCACTGCCCCACCCGTCCCACAATACATATCAAAGCCAGACGTACTCACACACATATAATGAGTCAAGAGAGAGTGAATGAAATGTCTTTATATTTACAGTAAAACTCGAATTCTCAATTACTAAACTTCTTGAAGCACAGACATGGTAGGGTAACCGAGTTAAAGATAATACAGTCAATTTCCAAATGGTTTTACAGCCTGCACTTAGTGTCTTTACAGTTGGAGATGTGTTAATAATATGAAGCAAACATTTGCAATCTGAAACATAATCAATACTGACAGTATTTGCAAGAGTCTGTAATGTTGCCCAATTACCATAATGCCCTGCGAGGAATGAATAAATAAGAATAGTGCTTGCAAATGCAATCAATCATTTGACTTCACTACGTGTACTCACAACCAAAAAAATGAGGACACAGTTATGTCTAAGAATTCATCATTATATTAACACATTTCCTTGTGTTGTGTTTACAGCCACCCACCACACTCATTAGATATAATCATTTTCTATGTGTTATATGGAAGGAGGTTGGGGTTACAGTTTGCTGCACTGTGGCAGAGCAAAAGCAATAAGTCTCCTCTGTCACTTTTACACAATGAGCCATGTCAGTTAGAGTGTAACTGAAATTCCTCAACAGTGAAGCAGGTAAATCGTGGTAAATGAGGCAGCTACATCCGAGTAGGTGGCACGTGTTAAAAGAACCAGGGAGAGCAGTGGTTTGAGGGTGATGCAGTAGAGGGGATTTAATTAGAAAAAACAGACGGGGAGTAAAGAGAAAGAAAGAGAGCAAGTACAAAATAAATAAAGAACGGGTGAAGAGAGGGAAAGCAAAAAGGAGAGTTCAAATAATCAGTAACACAATGAGTGAACATGAGCAGATGTTCACTTGAGAAGTGAAAGATAAAAGGAGAGAATTTTGAAAACAAACCATTTTCACTCCTGATTTAAAATCATTTATTTCCAGGAACATTTAGCTTCTTTTAAAAGCAGCCCTTACTGTACGATGTTTGAGAAATATAACAAAAACTAACAGACCTAGTATTTGACCCAGCTGTGGATAGTGTTGAATTATGCATTTGACTTTAACCCCTTCAGTATTTAAATAATAGTTAAGTAAGTACCACTGCATAAATATGTGGACATATGTTTGCTTGATGAAGTTCAGTGTGGAAAAGTGAGCTCTATCTGTATCTTTCCTATGCTTCACATTGAGATGCAGATTTTCTTTAGTAAAAACATTTTAATTACCATGTCGATGTCGCTGGTCATCAGAAAGGTCCAGGTCCAACATAAGATCATCTTCATCAAGCTCTGACGAACCCAGGTAGTTCAAAACATCCTAAAGAGAAAAGACAAAAAAGACAAAACTGAAAAAAGCTATCTAAAGATAATAATTAGAAATACTCATTATTATATCTATAGTAATATGATTATGTAAGTTGAAAAAATACTCATCTCATGAATATCCTACAGGTTAAGCAAATCATGAAGAAGAAAAACTAAATACATACTAATTCAAATAGGGCTAAAATATGACAACATTCAAGCAAATTATATAAGGATTTGTATCAAAATAATCCTAATTCGCTAAGTATAGTAGTCATTCACAAAGATTCCACAGCCAGAAAACCCAACATCAACACTTGATAGTTATTTATTGATGATATTTCTTTCACTTTTCTCCACTTGACGAAATATCCAGTCCCTCACCATACTGTAAGCATCTAGGCTCATGAACACATATTGTTTCTCCTGTTATAAGGGAATCATTAGGGTTCAGTTAGTGAGAGCAATGAATGTGCCAAATCAGGCTGTGTAACATCTGTCAGCATCCCCCATGCTTCGTAAAAGAAGAAGTACCTGCTGAACAAGAGCAACTTTACAATCTACTATCCTTGGTTGCAGTCAAATTGTTAGTTTAGCTTAGGAGCCTTCCTATCGGGGTGAAATGACCCGGAAGTCCCTCAGTGGCCGCCATGATAAGAGCCGTTCGAATTCTCTAGATGATAGCAAAGGAGGTTTGAAACTTCCTTTATAACCTCCTTTAGTTTAGGAACCAAGGACCTTCCTTTACGAAAGGAAAGGAGAAAATGCTGCCCCACAATGCCTTGCGGCCGCAACATTTGCCATTTCACAATATTTGGCCGTTCACAGAAACAACCGATCATGACCGAGAAATTATTATCATGAAAGTTACGGTACTTATTAATAAGCATTTTACAACTTATGTGGTAACTTGCCAAAGTGCTTTGTTTTGAACGTTCAACACTATAATAATCAAAAGGAGAAATATGAACGTTACTTCAAATAAAGTCAACACTTCATAGTGTTTACTGAGCTCTGTGGGGTTTCTTGAACTTTTAAAACATGTTTTAATGGTTATATACACAGTGATAGGTAAGGACTAACAAGTTTATTATAAATACATTTGTATTTATTTTAAGATCTTTTCTTACAATCATACGTATTGGGATCATGTGGATTAATACGTGTGGACCGGAGGGTGACAAGCATAAGTTTCACTTTCCTTTTTTATTTCAATTCCAACCTTGGTCATGAAGAATATATGTTTCTCTGTTGTCCCCGTTCATACAGCATAAAACAACACCATAAGAACGCGGTGCAAAGTATCTAGATGCGTTTACAGTAGACCGCCATTCTTATTATACATCCATGTAGTTCGCTGTATAGAAAACTGTAGTCTCCCCACAGCAGATGCACATTTATGACGTCCGCTGGCGCATCATAAATACGTTGGATAGTTTAGTGCAGTGGGATTCTCAAAGCACAGCAGTCTCTTTGAGTAAATCCTTTGAATTCTCCTATCCACTATTCCTTAACCCTGTGACGTTTCACAGAGATCAAGGAATAGTGGATAGGAAAAGACGATAGGAGCTGATTTTGGACAATTCGACTGCAACCCCTCTCTCTTCTCTCTCCATTAAAAATAGAGCCATTAACGACATGTGATTCCTAAAATTGTTTACACACAAAACCAACTTTCCAAAGCATTTGTAAGATGCCATTAACCTGATTTTGTTATCTATAAAACCTAAACATTTTTCCATCTACCTTACAGGGAACAAGATGTTCTCTGTAAATAGCATCAGGGACAATGCTCTTCAAAATCCAACAATAGCTTTCAATTCAAATAAAACCTTTTACAAACGTTCCCCAACCCTGGTTGTAACAGTTTGAAAACAAGAGGCATGTTTTAATATTTCATGGTAGTATTCTGGGTCTTGAGATGTTAGAAATTACAATTGTATCTTTAATCCCTATTTCTCAATCGGGCTACAGCTACCTGACTATAATAAGTGATGTTTCAACACTGAATGCCCCACCTCAAGAATGCCCCACCCTTTGTTCTTGGCTTTATTTTGAGGTTATAATGATGCCCTGTGCTCTCTAAGGTGCAGCTGCATTTCGAAAGTCAATGCTGCCATCTCATGGTCATCAAAGGGAAACCATTGTAGATATAGCTACATAAATAAATATTGGCAAACTGATAAAAACCCAACACACCACTGCTAAAAAGAGTGTATTTGTTGCAGTTGTACATATATACAAATAGATAAGGTTATGTAAGAATTGGCAGCAGGCAGGATAATTGCTAAAAAAACAATGACTTTTTTGATCATGTTCCCTTATTATCACAGACACATCCAGGTGAGGTGTAAAAACTCTGCCAACATGCGCTTCCCTGGTATAATACTCTCACAATCAGCAGGTTCGCTCCAATTATTCTACACCTAAAAAAACCTGAGCAATCCCTGGGTCAAATTATATATTATTTGCAAATAAGTAAGCAGATGTGATATGGACAGCATACCGGTAATAATGAGCACCCCAATACTTTCTACATCTCATAAAGTGCCCTGAATTGTCCTGATGAAGCATGTCTCAGCAGTCTGATAACCTCACAAGACCAAAATAGCTCATTATGCAGTAGATGATAGCAAATGAGGTTTGAAACTTTAGTAGTGCTTTGACCTTTTAGTAGTGCTTTGACCTTGTTCTGACTACATTTCAAAACCTGAATCAACGTTTTAGACAAGATTTTGAATATTTGCTTACTACAGGATTGAACTTGTATGCACTCAAACAATTAAAAAGTTAAACCAAAGTAAATATCAGGCATCGGAAAACTACATGCAGCAGTCACATGGAGTATCAGCAGAAACTCCATTAACCAGCTCTGTTCAGCCCTCATCACTGTTGGTTGGACATAAACAACCTCAGTATTGATCTCCTCCCTTTCTTGTACAAGACACTCGATGCTTAGTGACTTGCCTAACTATTTAACTACAGCACTGTCCTATGTGTGTGTGTGTGTGTGTGTGTGTGTGTGTGTGTGTGTGTGTGTGTGTGTGTGTGTGTGTGTGTGTGTGTGTGTGTGTGTGTGTGTGTGTGTGTGTGTGTGTGTGTGTGTGTGTGTGTGTGTGTGTGTGTGTGTGTGTGTGTGTGTGTGTGTGTGTGTGTGTGTGTGTGCGCGTGCGTGTATGAGAGAGGGAGAGAGGGAACGAGAGAGAATAATTACCAAACAGCTAAATCAATGTTCTCCAAGTACATAACACGTGAGGCCATTGTGTTAAGTGTACTGTGTTAATGTCTAACACTATATTACTGTTTTTTCACCAGCTGCTCGGCGCAGTTAACATCAGAGAAAGACCAGAATGCATTTCAACGTAATGCAATTGAACAGAAGAACTCCATCCAGGCAGCTAATAGCGAAAGGTATTGGAAAAGAAATGAAGACCCATTCTGTGTGATACTACTGCACAGACTCCATTTGAAGCTAAATTACCCATTTAAATCTGCCCCTCTAACCACAGAAATCTATTAATATGATTTTACAACCCAGATATGTAACCTTTTTCCCTTGCTTATGTGATTTGATTGAGTGTAATCCTTGAGTTAATAGAGATAATATCAGATTCAAGTCTGAATCTTAACAGATGGCTCCATCTCTTAACCTACAAGCAGAATAATAATCCCAAGAGATGGTTTATATTGAAGGGAGAGGGGCAATAGCTACACATCTGTAACGTTTTGTGACCTTTTTACACGGTTGTAACATTAATTTGCTGACAAAATCTTTCCACATTCAGAAATATAAACACCAGTCAAAGTACTTAAACCTCTTCGGTGATAGTTCCTGCTACAATAGCAGTCTCCATGAATACCGACAGCGATGGGCCGGTCACATTTGGTCATATGTCGACATTTTGGAACCATTAGTAGGGCTTTAGTGGAGAATATTTAGCAGCAATAAGGCTCGTCGAGATATGATATGACAGGGGCCTGACCATTCACCACTATAAAAACAACACGTAAAACCTTACAATCAGGCCGATGTAGTACATAACCAGGGTATTGAGTCTTCCTAGAGAATCCATCAGTAAAGATTTTTCCTGTCCATAAAATGCACTGGTTTCTGTTCATACTCTGAGGAAATCACATACAGTCTATAAAAACTACATTTATTCAGTGCCCTAGGGTGATAAATGCGTTAAGATCAAGGGAGAGAGATTTGGCTTGGTAGCTAGGTATTATGGCTTCTGGCGATGGAAAATATACGGACTAACAAATGACTTTCATTCTGTCTGAGCAGATGCTTCACAGCCAGTTGTGTTTACAAGGTGCCTGAGGGAACAAAAGGTTGAATGTCCAGTCAAATGGGAAATCTGTTGAATGCAAAGAAACCGATTATTATTATTATTATTATTATTATTATAATCATTATTATTATTATTATTATTATTATTATCATTATTATTATTATTATTATTATAATCATTATTATTATTATTATTGGCAACTATCTTCTCCTATACATACAGATTAATCTCTCATCCCAGAGCTAAGCAAACATCCATTTCAAATTAAATGTGCAATGCCTTTTACAATTTAAGAGAGATACTACATTTTAGTGCTTTATAGAGTACACTTTGGTAGCAACAGTATCCATATTTTCACTATGGCCATTAATTTGAGTTACATATTTAAATTAAGGAGTCCTATCACGTATTGTAAAGTATACAACTTTACGAGATGATGTTGTGTGCGAGGCTGCCGAGGCAGAAAATGTGACTACAGTCATAACTTAGAGATAGCTATTTCCTACCTCTGCAATATGTCTGGATGTGAACATGATTTCTACAAGAGAAAGCACCTAAAGGTGGAGTTTTTCCCAATATCAATATTGTCTTTGAGCTCTTTAGCCTGTCGATGAAAAATGTCACTGAATTAAAGAAAAGTTTTGTTTCTACAGCAGAGGAAGTCAATTTCTCTCTGATAGCTACTAATGAGCTCCTCACTCCATTTTTAGTGTACATTTACTGTTTAATAGCCTCTATACAGGTAATTAATTTAAAATTAACACATTTAGTATATGAACAACAAGTTATCTTCTAATAATTGCCATAAAATATTAAACATAACTAGCTATAATTAGGGGATTGAATGCAATATCAGAATGTATTCATGTGTGTATGTGAACATGTGGTATACATATTCCAAGTCCATATTGTACAATAAGTGTTCCCTTGTTTTTAAGAACATTTTCTTTGATAATATGCAAATAAATGCAGCATGATGATTATTGTTTATAAGAATAAACACCAGCAAACAGATGGTGCTAAACCACATTTGCCAATTTACCTAAATTGTCTTGATTCATAATTAAATCACACAATAATACTGCTTATTTTGCTGCCAATAACTATGAATGGTTATGTCATGATATAAATGATTTTCTTTTCATCCACCACTGTCTTCTGAGCTCATCTGTGTGACAAGTTCGTATCAAGGAGCATAGCTTCAGAGAAAGTGATTTGAAATGTGATTTAATGTGTGTATGATCATTTGTACTGCTTTCATAAGCTGTCCGTGGGCAAAACCATACTGTACAAATATCCTCATTGCTTTTCATTTAAAAACCCAACCGTCTGGTTGTGGTAATAACAAATTCTGTCTCGGATAAGAAGATAATCCTTATCTGTTCTATAATTATTTACAAGTGTCACTTATGATATCAAGGCTTTACAAGGCCGCATTCAGATAGGAGGATATGAAAACAAGAGGCATCCTGTTAACAAGTCTAGCGAGCAAGCTTTGAATGCAGGTGTGCATAAGTAACAGTCAAATTCAAATGGATTGCAGTTGAACTATTCTGCCACATACTGAATGTCAATCAACCTACAAACAAAAGTTCAAATGTGTTCATCTTCTCTCTCAGACGAGAGAGAATTTCTTCAGAACGTCCTAAGTTATTCCTTTCAACTGGAATTTAATTTAATCACTGCCAGCCTGCCAACATATTATCACTGTCTCACTGAGAAAAATATGAGCAACCAACAGTGTTTACGGGGTGGAAATAAATATCTCTCGACAACCCGAATGGGATATCAAAAATAACAATAGCAACTGGAATGAGATCACCAAACAGCTCAAGCAAACACAGCGTTCCTCACAGAGACACCTCGCAGTTTCTCTCAACTTAGAAGTAAACATTTGTCATTGCAAATCAAATATTTAGCAGCTTCAAGATAATTATATTCTCTCCTTGTAATGAATCAGTCAAAAATAAACTATATACACCTAGCTTACTGTCTCTGTTTGGCCCTAAACTGTTGCACTGTCCCACAGGGCTTCTTCACAGGTAAACACCACAGTGAGCCACACTGTTTATACAATAAGCCAACCATTTCTCTTCCTTGTATTCATACCCTCAACTGCCTTACTTATGTATTTACTTAGAAGAAGGCCTCTCAGGTGTCTCAGTTCAGACTTATCCATAAGCTTCACAAGTGCCCTCTGCAACAAAAAAAGACTTTTATCAGGCTGAAATAAAGAGGAGAAATGGAGGGACATAATTGAATTTAGACTCCAAGGCTCCTGCGCTTTAGGCACAATGTAGGCCTCTGAAGGGCCCTTCAAACGACAGAGAAAGGAAAAGAAAAGATTAGAAGTCTGTGCCAAGGAGCAGATGGAGTCTGCAAAGAACATAGCAATGTGCTGTGTGTATACCTGCCCTCGAGATGAAAGCATACAGTCCTTGGTAAAGTAAATTGGATTGACAAACCAACAGATATTCCCCTGTGTGTTGTGATCTTTATATATATACAGTCTATGGTTGTGATGTATTGTTGGAAGCGAACCCATAAACAATAATACCAGTAGCACCTGAAGCAAATGTTGTTAAAGCTTAAGCATGAATCAAAAAACGGGGGCAATGACTGTTAGAGTCAACTCACACAATATGTGAAATATTTACTGAAGAAGTAATATTACTAAACTAATCACACTTACCCGGGTCATAATGTCAGGGCTTTGCCTTATATAGCATTAAATATTAGAATTCTTCTTATCATTTGTATTCATGTGTACTCACAAGGTATGGTAACAATATAACTAAGAAAATCAAGGGGTTTTCAGATTCTCATGCTTAACTTGAGCTGTTGAATATCAGAACTAATGACACATTAGGACTTATTAGTAACCCGTGTGTGATTGCAAAGTCAGTACAGAACTGTAGATCGCCATTCAATGTGACATTTCTTGTCATGAGCAAATGTGTGTCTGTTTGTTTTCACCTCAGGATACACTGTTCAGTGCCTCGTGGAAACGTTTAAGAAAGGCATCATGGTAATCCTTTTAGGATTATTAAGACGTTCGTTACATTAAGTGCTATTCTCATTCTATCTTGTTTGCTGTGTTTTGGGCGGATTCATTTTCTCTACCTACTTTTCTTTCCTCCATTACATTTGGGGCAATTTATTACTGCCCTGAAACTGCACAGCAAAGTATTCACATTTGGTCTTCTTTTTTTTCTATCTTGTTTTTCTACTCTAATTGATTTTGTTTTCCTTTGTGTTTTGAAATGTTGTTCTAGTGCATTCTAGTGAAAAGTTTCTATATATAAACTGGATGGGCACTCAGAGAGCTCAAGCCTCCGCTAAGGTCATGTCCCATCTTGCAATATTAATGAAAATGAAAAGTAATGTGTGTATCCGCCCTGTGATTTGGATCTGCTCCAAAATGTGTGGCACATACTTCACTGTTTAGTCAGACACATGTGTATTTTTGTGTGCGAGTGTGTGGGTGTGCGTTTGTGTGTGTGCGTGCCGTGCATGTGGGTGTGTGCATGTGCTTGTCTTGGGGTTAGTTATGCTGTACCTAAACATCATAATTCAAATGTAAACTGTTACACACACACACAATACACTGTATCTTTCATACACACACCATCTGTATCTGCTAAAGTGTTAACCCTAATTCAGCATGACCTGAAAAAGTAAAAAAGTCATATAATCTAGTAATTTTGAATTAACTTATACAATCAAACACACACAGTCGAGTCCTACCAGACTGCCCAGTTTGGAGGATGAGGAGTTGTTTCTGTGTTTGAGGAGGCCACATCCCTCCATGCCCGGGGCATCCTTGTGGTTTCCATGGATACGAGGCCCACCAGCCCCCTCAGATGAGGAGCGAAGACGCCTTTCCATCCGCATCACCTCATGATAGGGGCTGACACTGCTGCACAGAGACGCTGCTGGAAAGAGTAATGAGAGGAGATAAATTGAGTTAGGGTGAAACTGTTGAAACACTGACTCTAAAAGCAGAGACATAATCTTCTTTTTATTATATTTCCAACGGGTAGCAGTCAGCCCAATTTCCTGTATGACGGTGGGTTATTTTTATGTAAATTAATGAAAAAAGGGCTCTTACTTATTGAGATTTTTAAATTAAGTAAACATTTCCCTATCTAAAGCTCCTCAGCAGTATTGCTTTTGGTCGAATGGTATTTTGTGACCATCCGGTTTTATCTCGTTCCCACAAAATGAGAGAATGAATGATGAACTTCGGGGGCAAAACCCAGACAACTGCTATAATTGCTCTATTATGATCTACTAATGGATATATGCATAAACAGACAGACAATGCCAGGTCCTTCCATTGTGTGCACGGTTATGAAACGGCTCTTCATGAAAACCACTCGCTCCCTACCTGTCTCTCTCTTTCACAAACACTGACACATGCACACTGCCTACATGTACAAAGTGTGTGTGCACGAGTCTTTTTTCTTGTCTTCTTTTGTCTTTATTCTGACACTTCCTGTCTCCGGCCCATTTTACTAGAGGCTCAACACATACCAGAGGACTTTAAACTGTTTGTGAAATGGATATGGTCAAATTTGTTTTTTGTGGAGTCCAACAGACTCCTCCCGTTATTCCTGTAGTTTATTTGTAGTTCCCACAGCTTGGAAGCTAAACATTCACCAAGTTGTAATCAATATTTAGCTACTGCCCTGCAATAATGAATTGCAATACACTACATGTGTGTATGTGTTCACAAAACAACAATAGGCAACTGATTCCGCACTAAGCTTTCATAATTTAGAAGGGGTTTTTTTGAGCATGTAACACTTACATGTCAAGTATAACTCAAATACAACAGCATTTCTACTGGGTTGTCAAAAAAGTGTCCATTTAAAACAAAGAAATGCTATCTTAATTAATTTGTTGAGTACTTTTTAATCATGATTAAATCTTGATATATTCATTAATTTGAACTTATCTTACTAAAACCCTCAGTTTCCTCTGCCAGCAGCACATTAATAAAGTGACATTTCAGTATCAGCAAAAATTAAATGATCAGTTGCTTCAACTAAACTAATTTCTAATAGCACGGTTAGCTAGTCCAAGTGAGACCATTAATCAAGCCAACACTTGATTCACTAAATTATCTTTTTTCCTGAAAGGGTAATAAACTCAGCCAGAATCTCATGTTCCATATCACACATTAAAGTCTGAGAAAAAGGTTAGGATACAGGGACAAATATTTTTTGGGAAACATAATTATGGGCTGTAGATCTCGGGAAGAAATATTTTTTGTGAGGGGAAGCCTTGGCTGAAAAATCTCCTCTGAAATATGTTACAACAGCTGAGGAAGTGAGGAAAATGGTAACACATCATCTCGGGTAAAATGATAGATTGTCAGTTTGACAAACTACAGTCAACCCACATCTGGAATGTATTCATTAGACTGAAGGTTTTTTTTTCAGATGAACTGTCTGAGGTGATTGCTCAGAGTGACGGCTATAAAAGTTTCAGATTCAGTTCGAGCTTCGAAATGTATTGTAATATTTGGACACAACAGGAAACATGTTTTCTGTTGCTTTTTGAAATGCAAAATGTACTGATACATGAGTGAGTTAGATATCAGGTAAAGCATAAGAGTAAATAGAATAATCCCAAAAATACAAATTATGTCCAACAGACACAAGCAACACGCACATATAACAAATATACATAGCATACATACTCCCCCCGCACAGCAAGAAGTCAATACTGTCACTGCGTTTTACATAAAATAGCTAGTCAATATCATAGAGCCGATATCACAAGGGAGTGTGAAGCCAAGTTTTGATGTCTGTGTGTCTCAGTTACCATGCGGGATCAACCTGGCTGGGCTCCCATGGTACACGGTACGTCGGTACATGGTAGTGTATGTTATCTGTGTTTGTGACTGTGGCGATGCATGTAAACTTGAGTTTCTCACCTGCATGTGGTTTCCTCAAATGAGAGGACCTTGGCTCGTGGCAGCCACAGAAGCTTCCTCTTTCTTGAATGGAGCGCGTTCTTCTTGCCTTCCTTTCCGATTGCTCTGGGTTAGAGTGGCACCCCTCGCTGAATACCACACATGCCTCGCTCTCGCTGGTGGTCTCTGTTTGGTAACCTGCCTTCCTCTTCTCCACTAACTCCTTCCTCTCCACTGCTGACAACTCATCCCTCACTTCCTTTCTCTCTTCCTCCCTCTCCCTTCTCTCTTCCAGTGATTGTTCCCGCAGAGGTAGGCAGGGTACAGCTGTCTCCGGCTCTGAGAGGGAAATGGCAGTCTCATAGTCTGTGTTGTTTGCTGTGCTGGTGTCCGGGAGTAAAGGTTTTTCAGTGCTGGACTGGGCTGGAGTGAAGAAGACCTGAGGAGAGGACATTTCATTGAGAATGTGTAGAAACAGAACAAGCTGTTGCTATCAATGTTACATTTGAATACAAGAACAATTGTGAACTGAAATGGGTCAAAAGGTTTGCACGAGGATATATTTGTGTCCTCAGGCACAAGGTGTGAATGTTTGGGAAGCACAGTCACAGTATTTACTCTTGCGGAGCTTTGTCTTTGCAGCCAAAAATAGAATCAATTATTTGAAGGAGGAAAAGTTGTGAGCACAAAGGTGTGAAATGTGGAGGACAGTTTTCAGACATGCAAGGACTTTTCTCTTCATGCCTTAGCACTTTCAATAAAAGGACTTTTATGCCCTGTGCTCAATTTTTATGTCACATTTCACAGATTCCACTCAGTGATCATAAATATTCCTCCTTTATGGTTTTTGTTCTTGACATCCAAGGGCACCTGTGGTTGTATTATCTATTCCTCAAGCTCTAATATTGCATTTTTTAAACAAATATTGTTTGCCAACAAGAAGAAATATTTACTGATTGAATGATTTTGCATACCTAAGACAAGTTGCATTTTCATCTTAAAATTCATGGTGTTTCTCTATTATTCCCGAAACCTTTACATAAAGTTTACGGTTTGTCTTTAACGGTCAACCCATTTGATTCCAAAACCCATACATGATTGACAGCAAAAAGAAACAGGCACACTACCTGGGATGAAGAAACAACCAAGCTGAAGTTCTCTGGAGCAGGGGGGGATTCAGGTGGGGATTCAGGTGGAGCTGGGTAGACATCTGACCCGGGCTCAGAGGCAGGAGGGGCTACAGGGGTTCCGGGGCTGGGAGCTGGCAGAGCATCCACCTCAGACACAGAATCCTCCGTGATGGGGATGAACTCTGAAGGGGTGATGGCTGTGGTTCGGTCCTCTGATATCATAGGGGACTGGAGTGAGCTTTCCCCACCGGCACCAAGCTCCCCTGGCCATGAGCCCGGGGTGAGGCCCCCGGCCCCCGGAGTGATGGTGGTGGAGCTCGGAGGTTCCAGATTCACTTCTGGAGGTCTGTGGTGGTCGGAGGTCCGGGAGAAGCGGTGGTGAGCGGAGAAAGATTTGGGCAGTAGCGTTTTCTTCCGTGACGACCGTTTGCTATTACTACCTCCACTGTAGTCATCCAGGAACCCGGAGTCGTCACCCTCATTGGCCCCTGAGCCACTGATACAGTTTGTAAAGACATTTCGATTGGCTGTGGAGGAGGAAGAAGAGGACGCTTTTTCAAAATCCTCCGTCTGAGAGCGGGAGATCTTCTTTTGCTTGTGGCTGCCGAATCCAAAGGAGTGGCGTGACTTTGGGCGTCCACCACCTTCACTGAACCCCGTTGACGATGACGTTGAAATCTGCTGGTTATTTCCATTTGCGTCAGTGCTCTGTGTCAGCGGGGGGGTGAGGTTTAGGTTGATAGGCTTGACACGTGGATCACTATTCCGTTTAGCTGATAAATTGAGGGATGGAGTTCTGAAAAAGCTGCGGCGTTTCCCCGTGCTGCCTGAACTGGAGTTGGTGCTGGAAGGTGAGGAGGTGTGGACGCCATTGCCCTGTCCACCTGAAGAGGGAGAGGAGGGGAGGGAGTCCTGCCTCTTACTGCTGCTGCGGCGGAAGATTGGCAGGCGGGACACAAGTGTGGACCGACGTGAGCCTGATTCACCCATCGAGAAGCAGTGGAAGTGGGGCACTCTGAGGAAACAAACAAACACAAAAAAACATTTAATGGATACAACATGCATCAACAAAGATTCATATTCAACGTGACCAATCTGTTGTTGGGAAATATTAAAGGCATCTAATAGTTCTGACATTCACAACTTGCAACATGACATCAAATATCATGATATTGTTTTAACAAATACGTCTAATATTGATATAGCGATGATATTGTAGGGTTGACTATTGCTGCATTATACAGGTACTATAAAACCTGATCATAAAGGAATTGTCCATAACATCATTAAGGCCATTTATATATATTTTTGTAATGATCACTACCAGCAATGGAAGCACATGCTGACTGTCTTTCCTTGAGAATTGAGTCCGTTTCTAACCGAGTTTAGCTACCGTTATAAACTGACAATTAAACCCTTTGTTCAAGCCAAGAATCAGATATAATAAGCATAATTCATCTCTGCTCAGTCATGAATGATGAAAAACAATGCAATGAGGCTCAGCAGTTACACTACTAACAATACTTTTGTTTATTTGATGCTACCCATAAGAAATGCAAGCCCGTTTTGACCTTTCTTAATAGTATTCCACATTGGGAATATCAAGAACTGCCTCCAGTGTTTAGCACAGGTTTCTTAAAGTAAAAACAAAGGTGACAAAAATGAATCATTATGGTGGGACTGTTCAATTCTTTAATTGTCGGTCTTTTAAGGTTTAACCTTGAAAAATCCTTTAGGAATATTTCTTATTTATCTTTTGTATTTTTGTTTTATCCCGGGTAATTGGTAAATAAACTTGTTTTAAAGCACAACATGCAAAAGAAGACAAAAACGAGGGGGGGCCCTATTCAAGGACTATCATCTCAGATTGATGATAGAAAAGAAAAAATGAAATATAAAAAAGTAATGAGCCTTAACTTAGAGCTACATATATTAACTCTCTGTTTCAACTGCACCAACTGTCTTTTAGAGTAAAAAGTAAGAGTATCAGGCTGAAACACTGTGCCTCATGTAATCTTCATTTACAAACGGCTTTATACAATTGTACACAGAAAGCCTCTTAGTGAATTAATTAAGAGGGGTCATTGTCTGTAAGAACCGACTGAAGTGTTTAGTCAAAGATTAAAGGAAGACATTAATTCATGTTTTACTTGTTTCCTACAATGAATTAAACACTACAAGTCACAGTTTGGCTAAGAGGCTGTCACTGTGAGAGCCTCTCTGTGTAATAAGCTTGTATTGACACCCTTCACTGAAGTGGCTCATGAGTGTGTGAACTCCTTAAAAGTACATTTGATCAAGTTGGGATACAGACGGGTCCTTTTTCTTTTTTAAGTGGACTCAGCTCACGTAATATATAAAAGCGGTAATTGATATTTATCTATGTACCTAATTTATGTCAACATTTAGAGTAATTATGATATTGTGAACAATTAAATAGTATATTCAAAATGGATCAATTGGATTGGATCAATTCAATTGGATTGGATTGGATCAATTCAAGATATCTGTGCAAGTGAAATAATTTGCAGGTTAGCACCCTAGTCAAATATGTATTAAAACATTTCAGATTAACCAGCAGGTCAGAAGTTACCCTCACCACAGACATTTGACCAGGTCATGACACTCTGGCCTGTCTCATTGTGACCAGGTAAACAACGTTTAACTAATTATATAGAGATTAAAACAGATTGAGAACAGTCCTACCAGTCCGGTGCAATAGGAAAAACACTTTTAGGCAATGGCTAGTAGCTATCAGGCCTGGTGAACACACTTCCAACGCAAAAGCATAACACAAAATCACTGCTGATAAAATGAAGGCCCACCCACATGGAGTGTGCCCACGCTGAAGCTCCACAAAGGGAAGGTTGAGAGGTGATAACTGCACTGAAACAGGTGTTTACTTCCCGATTGCCTGGCCACTGTACAAAAAACGATACCTGAATCAGAACTTCCGCTTATCTCAGTTCCTCTTCCCTTTGCTCTGTAGTGCAGTATAACGGGCTGCTGTGTTGGATAACAAATCATAGAGCATAAACTATTTGATTTGCTGCTTCCTTGACTTCCATTCGAATGCTGAATTACAAATTGCCTGAGCTAAATAAACGGGGCTCGACTATTCTTGCTCTGGACATTTCAGTAGTTTAATTTAAAGCAACTGTCCAAATAATATAATTATTGATGTAAAGCCTTGACATATTTTGTTCTTGCACTGCTGTGTAGTTTGAATTGTCTTATAATCCCATACGACTGCCTGACTCTTCCCCTGTTACTCAATAAACCAAACGGCTTCCAAATTCCCATTTGAATGCACTTTTACACTGATAAACCATTAGACTATCTCACGGTTTGAAAGAATAAATAAAGGTGTGTATGGCGTGTGCGTAGTGTAACTGGGTGTTTCCTATAAAACAGGTTATTGATGCATTTTTGACAGACTAAATATTAGGCAACACTGTAAGGCTGAAAATAGAAAGAAATATGATTCATACAAGCTTACATACAAGTTTTCTGATGTCTGATAAGAAATCTTGAGACTTTTTTTAAACACATTGTGGCTCTACCAAAGTAAGATAAGAATTTGTTTTAGACTGTGTGGGAGTTGCTTTTAGAAGGTGTGTGTTTTCATACAGGGAGTGATCTGCCTTCAATGATTTGCTTGCTGGTATTGTCAAACAAATATATTCCAATATTGTATCTGCATTAAGACACAATAAAAAATGGATACATGGATATAAGGGCCAAACATTTACAAACACTGTATTCTCTGTTCACTTAATTAGGGTACACTGAGAAATGTAAAATACCATGAAACAGAAATATAAGGTAGCACTCAACATACTACACTAATTCCTTTATGATAACTAATCTACCATCACATGACCTATGTAACATATAGTTTCTGCAACCTATGGAATGCATAGAATAACAAAACTGCTTAGCCTATAGCTATAAATATGCAAGTCAGGACATGTGATCAAAACAACAAGCTATCTTGAGCAAGAAGTCGCCTTTTTACCGTAAACTCAAATGTGAAATGTAAACTCTCACCTCTAACCTGACAGAAAAACTGCTACTCTGAACACATGTTAACCATCTTATTTTTAAGAACACTTAACCAAACTGCAGACTAAAAACAGAGTTACTCAATTATACTACACATGTCGTTGTATGGACATTTGGATACTACATTAACAGTGGAGGATTTGGAGGCTGAGGAACACATCGCAACTCAAGAACGGCATGCAAATAGAAAAATGCAAAACAAAAGCCAACACTGGCTGCATGCTGCAAATAAAGACGAACATCAGCTAAAATGATCAATAGTTCACCATATCTAATACAACACTTACCTTCTCTTTATCACAGGCATGATCACGAAAATGATAGTGCACTAAACAGGGTGTTGGTACACACTCAAAACAGTAACTTCTCTATTTGTAAACTCAGTGTTTCTATTGGCCAATCATATGCAAGATCAAGTTCAAATGTATGTGAGACGGAGCATGGAAAAGTATTATTATCCATGGAAAATCAGCAATACATATACACAATATTCAAATCATAACCTATTAAATACAATGTGATAAAAATCCAATAACAATAAATAACATAGACAGCTATATTTTTTACAGATGTATCCACTCAAAACAGAGCTTTCTCTTTATGTATGACAGTAGTCAACATATTTTGAAGCTATTATTGCACCTGTTTTACTCTTACTTCAAATTCTGAAGTAGAAGGGTAGGATCTACAGATTCGTTTTTAAAGACTAACTTCTCCCAAATGTTATTTCTTACAGTATTTTAGGAAGTGAGATTCTGTCTTAACTTCTCTTTTATGACAGAGCTCACTCCACATCCCCAGAAGGACTTTTACATCAGTTTTCCCAGGCTGAGTGAAAACAAAAGCTAGTGTTTACAAGTAAATATTCCTTTAATGTGTGGCTCAAAATGTATTTATTATGTTCAGAATGGTTGCTGACATAGTGGTACCTTGTGATGCATAGTGATTGTTGGTTAGCCCACTCCCCCTTTAAAGCATCACTTATTAATGAATGGGCCTTAGCATGATACTGTTACTGTGTGCCTACCAACACTTGTTACTGTTCTCTGTCAACCAATTAGCTATAGCCAGTATCAGATATTACAGCAGTAATGAGATGAGATGCGGGGATGTAAATGTGAGTGACCACCAGTAGCAGCAGCAGCAGCCAGCGGGAAACAGTAGCTGTCAAACAGAAACGTCAACAACGCTCTGAAGCCTGCCGACCTTAAATCCAGACTAGCTAGCTGGGTCAAATCACTGACAGTCAGCCGTCGGGAGTAAGCTCTGGGGCTAATGGCTGCTACGACATTACATCAATAAAATGCAGTGTATCGCTTTCTCCAGGCTGTAAAGGTCGGGGGCAATACAGTCGCGTGCACTGTCCGGTGTTTCAGGCGGACTGGCTAGCAGCAGCGGCACACACACTTACCTTGCGCAGAGTCCCAGCAGAGTCTCTACCGACGCCGAGCAGCTGGATAAATCTTCGCTTTGTGCTCACACGAGTTACCATAGCCTACATGGAGGAATCTGGAAGTATACAATGGTCCTGGAATTGCACTGAGGTAGCACCTTGTGTTGCACTGACGCCGATATTACACCTCTGTGACGTGGAGGCTCTTTTCCTCCTTCGTCTCTTCCGCGTTTCGACGACAGGCTGCGAACGTGCACAGCGTGACGTCCTTCTTCTTCCTCATACTCCTCCTCCTCCCTCTCCTTCTCCCACAGATCAGAATCCTCCAGCAGGTGGAGGGATGGACAATTACATCTCTCACTGGCAAATATAATCGATCCTTAATCTGGATCTTCTCATAAGTAGCATACTAAATATTGGGATGTCTAATATTGAAGGAATTGCCCATTCACTATCCCTTAAACAGAAAGTTACTCCTCTGGCATGTCAACATGAGTATGTCAGTGTTTTATATCAGATAAGAGGATTATTATTATTTATCCAACTCATTTACATTGAAGTATCACTGATAAAATAAAGATTAAAATTGAAAAGTCACTTTAAAATATAGTAAACTAAAGCTTTAGGCTATAAATACATGTCAAAAACGAAAAATTGAACTTTTAGTGATAAGATTTAGGATTAAAGGTCCAGTGTGTAGGATTTAGCATCTAGTGTTGAGTTTGCAGATAGCATAAACTGAATTTACCCTTTTAATGGCAGAAGTTTTGGTTTAGATGCCGAAAGCACATATGTAAAGATTTACATTACCAAAGGCTCCATTCTATTTACTAAGTCTCCAAGTTAGCCATATCAGTGTGAACATGCGCAATACTAGATACATTTTACCTACTTACCTATGGAATCCAACCATCAAAATCCTGTAATTTTCAAGTCGAAATGCCTACTATGTGTCAGGGAAACTTAAGGTGGCCTTCAGGTAACCTTGAAAATTCAATAAAAAGAGCAGTTTCTAATCTAATTAAAACACAATTATTCGTTTCATGTCATTATACTAATAGAAACATATTTAATTTGTGCGAATGCTGTTTACAGCATTCCACTATAGTTATTTTCTTTATTCTTCCGTCTTCCGTATTCTTCTTCTTCTTATTTCACCAAATAGTTTGGCTCTCAATAACTTCAGCATACTTTTCAGCTACAGAAACCATTCAAATATCAAAATATTCAGCCTTTTCAGCACATGATGGGTACATTTCAACTTTTTCAAAATATGTTGTACTTTTTGAAATATTCAGCTTTTTAAACTATTTTTTTAACATACTCAATGGGAGGAACCTTCAAATCCTCTTTTACCTACACATTGTGCAAAATGCTACTCCTTCCCTATGCTCCTTCCACATACTTTCAGCTAGAGACTTCATTCCAACTTTAAAATGATCACAAGACCGTCAGCTATAAAACTGATCTTCAGATGTTTCATACTTGTAACACTTTTTGAGATATTTAACTTAGTTTGGAGCTTGGTAAAGAGGCTTTCTTCAGATTTTAACATTAGTGTGTATAGAGTGTGTTGATTTGTGTTGGTTCTCTCGCGTCCAGGAGGGAGTTAAAATAAGATACAATGTAGTCTCTGAAAAGGTTCAAATTGGTACTTTAATTAAGTAATGTGGTTCTGAAACAAACAGAGCGATACAGGAGACAACAGCTGTTGTCTCGAAGTTGCAGCGGTGAAAAGAGAGTGAGATCACGTTATCTCCCAGCCTGTCTTTTGCTTTTAATTTGTAAAGCACTTTGAATCGCCACGTGCTGAAAAGTGCTATATAAATAAAATTGCCTCGTCTCGCCTCGCCTCTATTTCTTGGCTCCTCCTCTCAATGGCGACTGTTACGTGGGGGATCCACCTTCCTCTTTCTCCAATGTCCGATATCGCGCATATATATCGGAAATAAGGTCTGTGGTTGACACAAATTGAAGAGACAGATCACGTTTTGTTCTACGACATTAAATACATCAGCAGTGACCCCACTGGTGATTTTTTAAGAGTTTACGTGTCTGAAAAACGATGGTTGTTAACAAGTGGCTGAATAGGACTACAGAAGTTGTCAAGGCCGTTGTACGCCATTACACCGAACATGTAAACACTCCCGCTAAGTTTGTTTTTTCCCCCGTGTTCTGCTTGAAAGCAAGTACCTGCCTCCTGCAAACTGTTAAAATAAACGCTTCAACTTGTACAATTTTGAATCTGTATTTTTGAATATGGATCTTAAATTGGCGTGACGTTGAAGCAGCGACCCTGCTGTAGTTCGTTTATAGCATAACGTTAGCATTTTGCTTCTGGCGACTAGATGATTATGATTCAAAAATTATAAAAGTAGGGTAGACATGTGGATATTATCCGGTTGAACAAAACGTCTATTAAATTTGTGTCAACCACAGACCTTATTTCGAGCTATTTTCCAAAATCCTATGGAGAAATTGCATTGCTTTTTTGTCGAATGAACCGGAAGGAGTTTACTTCCGGGTTTTAGGACGTGTCACTGTTGCGCTCGAAAAAAAAGCAGACTTTGACGCTCCTCACGGTCCTGACATCCTCCACGCGTTGACATTTTCACTATAGGAACCACGCCACAACAGTGTGATGTTTGTAGGTTTATTGCAAGAAGTAACAATGAATTGATATGGAGGGGTTGATAAGATGTACTGGTCTGGCTGGACGTGCTGTGGTCCGTGCAGAGGGAGACTCAGAGTGGGGGTACCGTCTCAGGTATGATCTGCTCGGGCTGATTGCGGGCCCCCAAAAGAGTCGGATTAAATGCAGCTGACTTGAGCGTGTGCATGTCTGACGTCGTTTAGATCGTTGCGGATGTAAGCGTGGTACGCTTGGGATGACCAGCGGCCGAGGGCCTAGATGGTTTGGATAAGAGATGCCCGGTCTAGCTGCTGTGGACGCTGCGCTGATGAGGGAGAAATGGCTCTAATAGTGTTGCCCCCAAAATAGGCGGGATGTTCTGAAAGAATTTCTGGAACCAGAGCGCCCCAGTATGTTCCCTGGTTAAATTGTTTAATGCGGTCGGCGGCTTGACTAGCAAAGTGAACGTGGTAGGTGTAGAAACCTGAACCTCCGAACCGTAAGGCCATGTCGGGCTCTATGAAGAGGTATTCGTCTAACTCGGTTCTGCGTGTGGGATAGACTGAGCAGATGACTTCGCGGTAAAGGGAAAATGCTAAGGTGAACTCTGCAGGGGTTAAGTCCTTAAACCTCAGAGGTGATGGGTTGCGAAGCTGGACTAAACCGAAGCTGGTCTGCATTTCCCTGGGCTGGCTAGTGTCGATGATTGATGGCTGTATAGCTGAGCTAAATCTACATAATTACAGAGGAGAATCTGCTGGCGCAAGACGGGAGACACAGGAGAAGGGCGATACACTGAGGAGGCTGTCTGGATGGGTGGTGTTGCTGTGGCTAGAGTGTAGTTAGTTACACAAGGAGGAAAAACATTTGGGTGTTGGGGAAGGGATGGGATGGGGGTAGGGGAAAAAGGGATGAAGGGAGGGGGAAAGGATAGACCAGTTTGAAATGGAGGTGCTGGATGAGAGTCAGCTATTAGATTAGCATGGCCCATTGGGTTGCTGGGTGAGGCACTGGTGCTACGAAGTTAGCTGCTAAAGGAGGAAGGTAAGCAGGAGCTGGGTTGCTGTGGACTGCTGAAGATAGAGAAGAAGAAGGGATGGAGGGATGAAGGGATGTATGTGCAAGGGGATTTTGTGAGGCCTGTGAGCACAGACTGAGAGAAAGGTTGACATGAGCTGCGACATGTCAGACACAGAGAGAGCGGGCACAGGGGGGTAATACAACCTGGCCCCCGCCAGGGGGTGCTGGTAACTCAGGATGTGTCCCTGGAGGAGAACGGAGGCCTGTGACGTCACGAGTCGTGGCGCGCGTGCGGTGTTTGACTCTGAAGCGGGAAGAGCTGTGGGTCTTGTTGTTACCGGTGTGCTGCTGTAGGCTTTGTAGAGGTTGTGCAGTCTTGCCTTGTTGTCGTTTCGATGGAAGTGGATGCCATGTTCTTTGAAGTCGGAAGACTGTCCACTTCCTGAGTTCGAGCTCCATTTGCAGATTCGTCCGAGAGGTGTGTCGAGTGCGCCGCGGTGAGTGGATGAGGCAGTCGGCTGGTGGTGGGGAGATTGGAGCTGGCTGTGCCTGTTGTGGCCCCGATTGTTTGCCCTAGCTGGCGGAGGAGACAAAGCCTGGGATCTATCTGGAGTCGGAGGTATTTCGTTGGGGGAGCTTGAGTGAAAGTGACGGCTGGTGTGTGTGGGACACTGATTGCCGACCGCAAGCGGCTCCATTCGGATGCTTGGCTGTGATCCGGCTGCTGTGCCGTGGATGGCAGACAGCTGATGTCGACGAGATCTTCGTCTGACTCCGGCAAGTTGATCAGCAGTTCGGGATCCATGGTGAGTTTAAATGGTTGTAGTAGTAGCGTTTAAAGTTTGTTTGAACCGTGACGACACGCGGCGTGAATCACGGTCTGCCTGTCTGTCTTTGAGAGAATGGAGACAAGCAGTGGCCGGAAGTTTGAGTTTAGAGACGGGGTTTAGGCGTGGCCATACTTCATTTACTGAAAGCAGCTACCGTTTTTAAACTATAGTTAGAAATGTAAGAGGTTTATTTCTCATTCAGAACAATGGAAAGGCTCTCCTTTCACAGCACATCTCCATGGAAACCTTTGATCTCTGGGCTCAGTTTGATAACGTCGTCACCATAGTAACCTTTGATCTCTGGGCTTACACACACAGGTGTTTGATAACGTCGTCACCTCAAACACAAACACACAGGCCATGTCTCAATTCAGGGGTTGCATCCTTCGAAGGGTGCATTCGTAGACCGCATATGTCCCTTCCGCCGATAGAAGGCTGTCCCAATTCAAACAAAAGACAAGACTCCTTTGAATGCAGCCCACGAATGCGGCCTTCTTTTCCCGGATTTGAAGGATACATCTGATGTATCCTCCGCGGTCTACCATATCCCAGGATGCAATGCGCGCTGGGGACGAGTGAGTTAAGTTTTGTTCAAATTAAATGGCGGACCGGTCTCCCCAGTAGAGTGGATTTAAAAGCAGCAGCAAGCAGAGGAATCACTATTAAATGTGAGTGTTGGGTTTTTAACTTACTTTAAAATAACTAACGACACACGTCAAACCCAAGGGGCATTAAAACGTACATTTTCGTTAAATAATACGGATAAATACGTGACGTTAGTG